AACATTTCGATTCCAACGGCATAATTTAGACGTGCAACAGCGGTAATTAAAGTTTAAAAGTCTCAGAAATATTACAACTACTGTCACAAACTGGATGAATGTGAAGTATTTTGTTAAAGGAGGATGAAAGCGTAATTAAGGAGCACTATTGGAGTGACTTTGATGGTTATTGGACTCAGGATTCATTCATTTGGATTCCCGCTGTATGAAGAAATTAAAGGACGGCGCAAGTGGAAACAATTCACAAAGGGATTAAACTGTTTAAAACACATGCTCAAAGTAAGCCGGATTTTGCCGATGTGTTTATGTGGATTCAAAAGTCGTAAATAATCCACAAAATGGAAGAGATCAATCTGATCGGAGCAACTGTGACAAATAATCCAACTGAAACCGGCATGGACAATGATATGTTTTAAAAATGCGCTTATCCAGAAAAGCCTGGTTTGGACACTTTACGGGCAGAAGAAACATTTCTATTAAAGAAAGAATTATACATTTCTGTCTTTTTATGCCTTTATTAGCTACTAACTTGAATTGTTATTCTACTTAATCAATTATTTATTGTAATGTAGAGACAAGGCTTTTAGTGGCAATCATGTATTGCGTTACAATTATATGTAGAAAAAAAGAAATTAAAAAAAAGTCTAAATATGATATTTGGCCTCAAATCATCTGAGCCCCCCCCCTGCGAACTTTGGGTTGGGAACCACTGATTTAGAGGCATGTCTCAAAATGGTATAGTCAAAATGACTTGGGTGTAGAGAAGATGAATCATGTGAGTATACAGGCCTTTGCATACTAGAATAAACAACACCTCAAAATCAAGACACCTAATTAAATGTATTGGCAGGTTAAAGTTTTCCAAAAACATTTAGAGTAAGACAAGAAGGGAACTGCGCTCCTTATGTATGCGGTGAAAAAAAAGGATAGTGAAAAAGGAGATGTTGAAGTCAGACCAAATCAATGTCTGTCTAGAGTACATATTTATCATTCAGTTTTCCCTGTTGTGATGGATTCTGGGATTCATTGCCAACTTCTGATTGATTCCTTGTACTTCCCTCTCATCATTTTCTAACAACTGAGATGTGGTCGTTTCTCATATGCTTGGTGGGACCAAAGCTGAATAAAACTACTTCATTTGATCAGCTGAATGTGGCGACCTTTAGTTGGGATTAACATGCCCCTTATTTCTATAAGAAGAATACGAAAACAAGTCTTCCCTTTAAGACACAACAGTGATACAAACAGATCAATGAAGAGCTTTATTTATCCAAATTGAAAATGTGGTTGCGATTTTCATTTACAATATGTTTTTATAATGTTTTATACTTTACTGGAAATAAGCATTTATCACCCAGATTCGGAGAATAAGGGTTGCAATGTTTTTTATAGTGATCCAATACATTGCAAACAAAAAAATAGATGTTTGTTTCTCACCTGGCCGAAACATTTGTGGTGAAGGAGACGCAATCGGTGACAAAGGACAGCGGTGTGGTCCCTGTGATGTCCTCCCACTGGGCGGGGGACGTCCCTCCTGCAGGAAACAAGGGCCAAAAGATGAGCTCAGTGCCTTTCCAACATTACCTGTGTTTTAGCTTTTGTAATCCCCATCCTTTTATCTTCTCAGCTCTTCATCTTCCCTGTATCGAGCTGCTTTTCACTTCAAAGTAGGACTGATGTACCCACGGCTAGTGAGTTAGTACCTCTGTCTCATGTGAAATTAAAGAATGAACAACTATGTCTGTTGTCACAAATAAAATGTATTAGCATCTAAGAACACAATGACTAATTCAATAACTGAATGCTAGTCGTGTAGAAGCATTTTGGATAAAGGTTCTCCAGTATTGTCATGCTCTAGTTATTCAGAGGTCTACTTGCCTGTGATGCTGCAGAGCAGACGCAGGCAGGGTGCAGTGTCGCCTCGGTGACCGCTGGGATGGCCTTCTGCCGATCTAGGCGGGACAGGGATCGTCATGGTGATCGGCTTGTGGAACTTTCTCCTCCTGGGCTCCACGGTGACGATGGGGCTGAACGTGGCTCTGTTTCCGAGGATTGCCCTCGCCATGTCATCTGGCACGGGCTGGGCCTAAACAGAAGGAAAAACAACAGGAAGTCAAATAAATAGTTTGTTGATGAAACTTTGAGAAATGTTTAGTGAAACTTTCCCTGAACTTTTTCTGAAATGAAATGGCTCAGGCATGTGAGGAGGCGTGGACTGGAGTATAAATAAATAATAGGTCAGTGGACAGTCTCTGCGACTGAAAAGCTGAGTCATGAAACTGAATTTGAGCTGATTCAGAAGTGCTGCTGTACCTGCAGGCCGACACGGATCTTCTTGGTGAGTGCTCCTTGAGGGAACGAGGCCTGCACCATGGGCACGGTGCTGCTGGACAGCATGCCTCCATCCGGACCCATGTGGTTAGACTCCTGCTTGATCCGCGACACCACAGCAAAATACTGAGGGAAATCGCTGGTGACGATGCGGCAGATTCGCTTCTTCTCCAACTCAATGGGACTGTCCAGCTCTGTGACAGAAAATATCAGAATCAGAATACCTTTATTAGTCCCCCAGAGGGGAAATGTACGTAGTTACAGCAGAAAAGAGCCACAGACAGCTTAATGTTACATATATTACATATGTTACATGCATTAAAAAGTACTAAGTTAAAAAAAAAAGTTATGATATAATAAAAAATATAATAAAAAGTTACACAATTTATCACTTTGTTATGATCACCTGATACGAATTATGACTTTATGTGTTAGATACTATTAAGGTATGACATTTGGCAAGGGTCAATACAAAAAAGGACACTAAGTAGGCTAAACAGGAACAAGAAACACATGTCCTGCAGTGAAAACCTGTTTTTCTAGGACACCAGCTGACACATAGCCCTCGGTTGAATAGTATAGGTATTCCTAAGTGGTTCAAGTTCACCTTCATCCATTAAAGTTTATTTGTTCTAATTATCATTGGCAATTATTGTTGGGCCACACTGAATAACCTTTGCTTTACCTTCATCCATTCCAGAAAGCAGCTCAAAGAGGTCTTCTGGTCTGGCGTCAGACTGGTGCTCCTTCCACGTGTCTCCGTTCTCGCTCCTCAGCACAATCAGCTCCCTCTCTTTCCCCCGCATGGACCCAAAATGGGGGATCTCTACGATCACAGGTCTGAAAGAGAAAGTAGAACACAATATAACTCAGGAAATTATTAGATTAAACCATCATCTTTAGGGCAGCTGGGGAGTTAAATAACAATGATGTGCATTGGCCACCTCTGACATTCATGGATGTAGTTAAAGTTGCAGTTTAACTTCACTCGGACATTGTCAATTTCAATAGTAGTTAAAATGTTTTTTCTGAGCAGCTTTAGCTAACCACACTATATTTCTCCATTAGATGGTTCACCTGCGTTCAGTGTGAAGTAATTGAAAGCTTGTAAAGCTTCCCTAGGACAGTTTATCGGAAAATATCCCCTTTGATTTGTTCCCTGTTCTCCCTGAAAACTGCAATGCATCATAAAGAAATCCCAAGCGTCCTACCCCAGGAACTGAGCCCCAGCTGGTCCGACCTCCACCAGCCGGCTGACCAGCCCCTCCCCCTCCACCATGGGCGGGGGGTAGGCCAGCTTGTGCCTCTTGGCCAGGCGGCAGGTGATGCGCGTGGGTGCCGTGCACTTCCTGGGTGGGATGATGATGCGCATGCCATTGTGGCGGCTGCCTCTCATGGAACCACCGCGCGCGTCCACCATGAAGCTGACCAAGAACCTGCAAGGTGAACAAATAATGTCAGAGAAATAAAAGATAAAGACAGAAGTCATACCACGGAAACTAATAAGGAAGACGATTTCCATGCTGTGATCACCGTACACCAAAACAAAGTAAGGAAAAGAGAGAAATTAACAAAAAAAGAGAAAGAGACAGAGAGAATGATAGAAAGAAGAAAAAAAGATGCTTTGAGTTCTGAAAGTTTGCAGTTCTCACTTACACCTGCCTCAATTCAGAACATTAAACACTGTCTGAAACTAAACAGGGTGCTGCTCATGAAGTCGCAAAGTTTAGTTTCCATTCATGAGGCACAAGGTGAGACTTTTGCCAAAGTTTCAGGTCCTCTAAAGCAGCATCCAGTGATCAAATATTAAACACCTGCACAGATGTTTCACCAAGATAGGGTTAATGTGATTAATATGTGATGCGTCTTTGAATTAAAAGCTAATTTCGGCATCCCATTAATATAATCATTGACACAAGTAATGAGTGAGGATGGAGAAGAGCAAAACATGAATTTTGCACGATCAACCTAAAGCTAAAATGTGTTGCGTTATGTATATTGTTGCTTTTTTCTATAGTGTATGTTGGCAGAAAAGCAGAATCCCTGTAAGGTTTCGAGGGAAATGTAATTCTATGTGAGAGAAAGACAGATGAAAAGACTCCCATACACGTTGACTGAACACCTCTAATATCTAAGGAGTGCAAATGAAACACCAGACCACGCGGATGAGACGAGCACAGGGTGGCGGAGTAGAGGAGGCTAAGAGGTGCCGGGCGGGTGGGGGGTGCGGGGGGGGCGGAGCCCTGATGAGTGAGAAGGGGAAGAGAAGGGGGAGGAGTGGAAGTCCATCACTGGCCACGCATCGTAGGGACAAGCAGCACCCATCACACGTGGAAGTCATACCTGCAGGGGACGCGGGGAGGAAGGCCTGCAAAAAAAACACATGGAGGCAATGGCCAGGAGGCAAACCCCCGAAATCTAGTTGCAGTATCCAAAGGTTCACACACTGTGGGGATCTGCAAGTAACGCCTGAAGATGAAAGAAATACGGGGGTGGAAAGACCAACGAAAGAAGGGGCCAAGCAGACAACAAACTAAAGTAGCATAGAAATACCACACCACACCAAAAAGAAGGAATGACATGACAGATCCCAGAGAACACTAATCAATTATTGAAGCCGTAAATGCAGATCCAACGAACAGCCCCGTGTAATACAAGAGCAGGCATTTAAGCGCGAATATCAAGTGAACGCAAAATCTTATCACTTATCCAAAATGAAGACACACAAGAACACAGCACCCATGAGCCACCAAGAAGAGTCGTACTTCTGTCCCGGTGAAGAACAGGAATAGAGCTGACGTCAGTGAACATAGGGTGAACGCCTGGACTCTTGCTCGTAAGACCGCCTAGGATGACACCCGCCAAGCTTAGCGAGGACATGACTGTTTCTTTCTGTGCTGTAAGAAGCTGTACAGTAGCCAGCACTGCAGAGAATCCACAGCGCCTGCATCATGCGCATCCAGTGCGCCAGGGTAGCTGAATATGACTCTTTGGGGGGGGGGGGGGAACAAAAGACAAACGAGCAGTTGTGTGCGATAGAAAAGTGCGATTTATCCGCAGAAGTTTAGTTAGGAGTACATGCAGCTTTGCATGCAGTAGGGCTGCTCTGTCCAGGAACGCGTTTTAGTAAGATGGTTTATTTACCCATTAGTCATTTTTTCATCCAAATGACCAAAAACTTACACTCAACACATCCCTGGTAAGACACAAATTTGAGACTCGTTGGCAGGATCTTTTGGTAGAGAACCCAATTCGACAGCATCTGTCGAGTTAAATCAACTTCAAGCTAGGCTTGCCGAAATGTCTCCGCAACGGCCGGCGTCCACACACAGGCCACGACAAAAAACTTTCAAAGCTCGCCGCCATTCCCTTGAATGCGCGGTGGACGAAGGAAATTTTGAATCTCGCCGACTGGCGGCATTGTGGGGAGCGGGAGCCAGCTTTGCAAGCATCGTGACTTCAAAAGGACTGCAAACGCTGTCAACTCTTGCATGCGTCCGAATGCTCTCGATGCCTTG